AAACTGATCATGAGATCTCGATACATCTCACGATGACTTGCTTGCTCGAGAGAGCACACCTACACATCAAAGGTGACACACTGACACTAGAATTTGAGTATCATGGGAAGGTCAGGTATATCGGTATATGTCCAAGTTGAAAAAAAATATGTATATTTTGTCAAAACACGCATGACAATTCACAGAAGAGGACATCAGTACATAAGTTTGAATAGAACCGATCTGGGCATGGATAAAAATTCAAGATGCAGTTGCACAGTTATTTTTTAGTTTCGAAACCATGTCACAATTTCCCCAGTACATATACATAGTTAGTCTCCTACCAGAGTTTGGCTTAACATTAAGAGACATTTAGGAGAAGAGAAACTGCTCTGAGAAATTTTAGGATTTATTACTAAATCCTAGGGATTAGGATCCTAAGAGCCCATTCTCCAAACAAGGCCTAAAAGATATATAAGTCATAAGAAAAATCAGATAGCTTTTCAGAAACAGCAAATGAGAAACAAACATGAAAAAGTAATAATAAAGGTATCTTAACCTTCCGAAATGTGTGTATGAATGCTCATCAGGTCAAAAGTATTATGGTGGTGTCACATTTCAACCACTAATCAAAAGCTCTTCTGGGTTATTTTTCCCAAACAATAGACAAAAACCGTTACAGTACCTGGAGTTCTTAACTTTCTTGTTCATCCAACCTGTCAAATTAAAGTAAATTTGTATCATTATTTTAACTGCAAAAAGAATTGCTGCTCTTCATCTTTAGAGCCACAGCAGCACCCTCATCAAGCAGTGGCATTCTTCAGGTATGCAATGAGATCAGCACGTTCCTGCGGCTTTTTCAGTCCAGGGAATACCATCTTAGTTCCAGGAATGTACTGCATAGAGAAAACACAATAGTTTAGTATTGCTGCAATGCTATATTAAATCAAAGGGAAAAATTCTCATTTAAGAAATTGGCCCTAAATCAAACAATGGCAGCACACAAATCGAGAGAACAAATATGACAAATGGTATGCAAAACTATATGGATCATGTTTGGTAGTTCATCCTTTCACAGCCAGTATTAGTAGCAACTAAGCAAGCATTCTACATTGATGAACATCTACAGACACCAGGGTACGGAAGCAGTGGGAACAAAAAAAGCCACTGAACCAGAGATCAACATCAAAATGGGATACAGGTATTAGTGAGTTTGTTCTCCACACTCCAGATTATTAGAGTAGCAAATATCACTGATTCATGTGTAGGAAATTGTAGATTGAAAAACAGAAAGAAGTATTATAAGCAATCCCAGGAGCAAGCTTGCAGGGTGCTACCAATCCAACTGAGCACAAAGCTTGCAACTCATTCCATACATGTGCTCTACAGCAGGTAAATGGAACATACAAAGTGGAGCCACATATTCAACATACATAGCGGATGCGTGGATGCAAGATATGCCGGTGACACACGGTGAAAGAAATTATCATGGTTTGGGGAGTGTCAATGCTAGCCATACCTTCTTAGGATTAAGCAGGTAGTCATACAAAGTGTTCTCCTCCCAAATCACAGCCATGTTCTTGTTAGCCGAGGAGTAAGAGTAACCTGGTGTTGTACCAGACTGCCTCCCAAACAGACCATTCAAATTAGGACCTGAAAAGTATCAACACGATTATCATTGCTAGCTTCAGATGGTTTGAATACCAAGTCAAGTCAAAGTAGTGAATATGCTACAACAACATTAAAACCAGCGCGCGCTTGACACTGCTGTATCCTGAACAGCTGAAGAGTCCATAGATTACAAGGATGGGCGATATGACTGTTCAAAATCTTCAGGCATATACAATAGGAGGACTCGATAAAAGATTTATTGGCTAATTAATGTGGACATTGGACAACACCACGCAATGTCACAATCCATACAATGTTTTTGAGTTCTATAATGCAAGAGCCTGACAAATTAGAGATCAAAAGGAAGGGCTTCGGACTAGCTCGGACTCGCAACCAGAGTACTGTGCATCTGGAATGCAATCGCGTGTGATCTAGGGTGTTATAATCACAACTAAGCACAGCAATTGAAGCCTCCATCACCATCAGACCGCCACCCAGAACGAGGCGTCACCCCTTGAAATCAAGTGATCGATCTACAAAGGCTTCAGGTACAGAGAACTACTCTCGGCGTGAGCCGTTAGCGTTAGGGATTGGCCCCGGTGCTCACCTTGCTTGTGGCCGGCGCCCTTGTCGACGGTGTGGCACTGCGCGCACTTGGTCTTGAAGATCTTCTCGCCGGCAGTTGGGTTCCCCGGGGGCGCCTCAGAGAACGACGCCATCTCTGCGGAGCACGAAGCAGGGTACCTGAGCTAGGGTTAGGGTTCCGGCTCGCAGTTGGAGGCGGCGGCGGCGGCGGAGACGGACAGCCCTGTTGCAGTGTTGCGTTCTCTCGTATAAACGAGACGATGCAGCAGGCAGGCACACACCGCGTACGAGAAACGCGAGCGGCACCCGGCACGTCAAGTTACCGTAATGCCCTTGCGTTCGCAAATATACGGAGGTTAGACTCGAGTAGCGGGCTGTATTGGGAATGGGTGGCGCCGGCGGGCTCGCGCGTTGTGTCATGTGTGGCGGAGCGGGGAGTGGGCCGCCGGACGCTGCGTCGTGCTAGTGCAAGCTCACACTCCCTCGATTCCGCAGGAGAGATGCGCGTCCAACTAGGACGATTCCACCCTGCGATCCACCTGGGATTGGGAGCCCGGGGACCACGCGATGGATCATCGTCATCGCTGTGGATGAAAACGGATCGGATACGAACGGATATTATTGATATTATATTTGTTTTTATATTTTTGTCTCGAATTCAAATTTGAATATGGATATTGTCAACCTTGATGGATAGGATACGATTGGATATCGACATCATAAATATGCGATTTGATTATTTGAATACGGATATGGTATCAGATGTTGAATATCCGGACTCAGATATGAACAGATCTGAACTCCACTAAACGGATTCGGTCTCGAATACGGTCAGAAAATATCCGTTCTGTTTTCGCACCTAGTCATCACCGTTCACCAAGAGAGAAAAAAAACTCGCCGTTTCTTTACATACACTTAGGACAGTTTGGAGTGCTCGATGATTAAACAAACGGAACGGCATCGGGTGATTGATTTGTCGACAAACACATACATGTAGCGCTACCACCAGTTGGCTAGTGGCGTGCCAAGGAAACGCTGTGATGCTCCCGATGCACGTGCAGATCCGGTCCGTTTCGCTGAAATTTGAGGCTGATGTTTATGGTAATTTCATGTGTCCAATACAGCCAGCTGCGCGCCCACATGAATTGATTTAACTCGCTCCCTGTTCGTTTGAGCTTATTCATAATTATTTTTCAGTTATAAAACAATGTTTTTCCCTCACAATATTTCAACATAAACATCAGCATAAGCCAAATTTTAACATCAGCGAACAGGCTGTCGGTTTAAGCAGAGATTGCGCAGCTGAGAGCTCTGCTGGAGCGGCCGTTGCCGGTGGACAGCTTCCAGAGGCTGCTCGTCCATCACGAACTCCCGGAAGATTCAACGACCGAGAAACAAAAGAGAAAGATGGAAGAAACATGGCGCCAGCAGGACATCTTGCATTCTTGCTGCAACATTTGCCCGTTTGGATCTTCATGTGTCAGTGAAAGCACTGTCGCAGCTTGCCCAGTAACTTTATTTGGTTTGCTCCTGTTCGAGAGAGAAGTGATTCCAAAGAGTAATCAAAACACAGAGACACAGTGCAGCCCCCACAAAACTAATCATACCTACCCGACCATCAAAACACACACATCACATGCACTTTAGCAGCAGTGGTACAACTTACTTAAAAACAGAGGCGGCACGGCCGGTTAAAAAAAAGAATTCAAGAACAAATCAGGACGAACGAAGTAGGAGTAGCTTAGTACTAGCAGAACGATTCAGGCATCCGATGATGTACTGACAGGAACACTAGTGCAGTAGAAAATTTGTTGCAGGACTGAAGCCAACGGCAAAAATAACACGGCCTGCACTTGTCCAGTTGACTAATTCCAGCGGGGAGGGCTTTGGATTCCAGGCAACGGGCATCTAGATCACGCATAAACATTTTTATTTACACTAGAAACATCCGCAGACCTATGCATGCATAGTCAACAGGCATAAAGACAGGAGGGGGTGAACCGCGACGGACGCCAAGCCAGCTCACGACAAAATCCTCGCAAAGACAGGTTGTCTGTCAGCTAGGAGCATTGCAGAGGTCTTGGGCCCTTCGGCCATCCACATCTAGCGATATACTGATATCAAATTCATTGAACATACAGGTGAAAATGATACACCGAACCAGGGTGAAAAACAATTTGAAGTAAACTTCAGTTACTATTTGACTTGATTTGGTCACACATTTGTAGTTACCTTGATATCTTCACCGTTAAACTGTTTTTCAAATAGAAAAGAAAGGGCTCAACAGAAATGGAAGGCCTTGGTGGTGGTCCTTGGTCTTACCCAGCATATACCACTAGACATCTCCCAACCGATTTATATCCGGCAGCCCCTGCTTTAATTCAAGGCCAAGTAGCAAATATAATATACTCGTCGCACAGCTGTCGCAGAGAGGAACAGCTAAGGAATAAGCGACACAGCAGAGGCCCATTGCAGCCTAGTCCATGGTGTAACTTATTGGCTAAGATATTGTGGAGCAGCTAAGGAATAAGCGACACACCATGAGTTGTGGAGCAGCAAAACCAACCAAAAGTGAATTCCAACTCAGCCTCTTCCAGCCAATGCCAGAGCACAGCTCATCAGCCATTGCAAGATCTAGCTACTTGCTACTTTGATAAATGGAATTAGAGTACTGGGCTAATGATGAGTTAACCTACTTGGGAAAAAACTTTACAAAAACCTTTTGATTGCCACAAAACTGTTATCATTAAGGTAGTAAGAGGAAAGAGAAGGAAAAAAAAGGGGGAGAACATAGTAGAGGGGCAAAAGGCACAGGTGAATACTTCTTAGTATCTAGGGATTTCCTTGAGAGGGAGCATCGGCAATGCTGCGCTTGGCGAAGAGCCTGAGGGTGATCCAATATGGACACCACTGCGAGAAGAGAAGCCAATCTCATCCGTACCATCCTGCTGAAGCTGGTCTTCTCTGATCATTGTGCGGAAGGATATGGATCCCCGCTTCGTTGAAGTGTCAGAATTCCGCTCGATTTCTCGGAAACTTTGGTTGGCCACAAGTGATGCACCTTCATAGTAGTAATCATCATAAGGCACCATTTCTGCTATGTCCCGCTGGCCTATATCTCGGAGGGCCAATGAATCAGCTACAGGGTAGTAAACCAGTAAAAGTATCCCAACAGTTGTGCAGGACAGCATCATAAAAAATGACAGGAAGATAATACCCTCAAAGGCAACATCTCCTGGCTTGGGCAGCACTGAAAACCCGAGAAGAAGCACCCTAAAAGGAAGGAAGCAGAGCACTGACACCATCAGTAGATAAACCCTCCTTCGCAGTGACTTGTTAATAACCAAGGACAGCACCCGTGATCCAACATATGATACATAGCTCATCAGCAAAGCATCTACAAGTCCAAGAAAAATGGTGCCAAACAATGGGTAAGTGCATACACTGGTATCTCCAACCGGTGAGTATGTCCGTATGAAGTATTTAGCAATCTTCCTTCTCCCAAGATCATGGTTCTCATCTCTAACAAACTTCGGCCCAATAAATACTAGGATTGCCTGCACCGAGAACACTGGAATGCAGAAAGCCAACAAGTAGGCCATGGTCTTCCAATTCCATCTTTGGTTTAAAGTGCCCAGCTCCTTCTTTTGTAACGAGCCATGGAGCAGAAAAGCAAATGCAAAGAAGATCCCTGGCTCTGCAAACCCTAGATTGGAAAGTATGTACACATCACATATGTTCCTCTGCCATGTTAAGCTGGAGAACAACTTTTTCTTCAAGAAGCTCAATCTCACTATCTCACCTACTCCCCACCAAATTGTGATCAGAATCAGAGCAATACGAGTCACCCATGGGCCGTTAAAGTAGCCAAGCGGAAGGAAGGAGGGTCCTCTCCGAATCCGACACCTGAAGTAGACCGACTGGAAAATGCAGAAGAGGCCCAGAGCAGCAAACAGCACAAACAGTGCGATTGTCAACACACCGAATGCATCGGCAGCTACTCTGGTCAGGGGCATCACCCGAAGCACAGTTGCCACGCATGCTCTCCGCTCGCATGGACAGCACAATGGCCCACAAATACCATATACTCAGCAGCAGCCCTCTCAAGTCTCAGCAACGGCCAGCTTCTAGAGGACTGCATTCAACAAATAACTGTATAAGATTAATGACAACACTAGAACATATTTACCAAGACTTAAATATTACCAAAAAAAAGCTATTTTGGTCTTCAACCCCCCCCCCCCACACACACACACACCTCAATCGCAAATTTCATTTGATTTAAGCTGATTATACCCTAAACCTCCAGTGCTCATACCAGGAGTCCAGGACAAATCCATTAGTGATCACGTATGCAGTTAATACCGTACTGAAGTACATAACTTGATCAGCTAAAATAATAGGCACTTAATCTAGGGCATTTGAGTTGGTAGATTACTTGAATCAGGCAATCAGCTAACTAAAGCTTACCATTTCTGCAATAAAACACAGAAACTTTTTAACCCCTAAACATTTCAGAAATACTAGCAAGAATAGCACTTGTTAGCTCTTAAATACTCCAATAGTCAACATATTTGCTCGTTCCCCACGGGTAAAAAGGTTCAAACCCAGACCAAGTGAGCACTATATCACCAAACGAAGTTGCCTGAAAAGCTTAGGAAAAACTGCTCAAGCTCCAAGCAAATCACCTCAGCGAAGGCCGGAGGGCGGCGGGAAGCGCCGCCAGGGGCCTCCCGGCGGCGGAAGCTGAGGCAGCCGAGAAACACCACCGAATCCGGTGATTCTGATGTCGAAGCGGCGGCTGCGGTGAGGCGAGGTGGGATCCAGCGGCGGCGGAGGTGCAGGGGAATGGAGCCCTAGAGACGGAGATGGAGAGGCCGGGAGTGGGGAATGGGGGAAGAGAGAGGGGATTGCGGATGGGAGCGGGGAGAGGATCGATGATAAGGGCGAGTGCGTGGGAGGCAGAGGGCAGAGGCAGGCGCTCGCACAGCGACCCTGCACGCGGCACGCCAGCGCCGGCCGCTGCCGTGCTGGATTCTGTATGCGCGCCGCTGCTTTGTCCGCCGGATCCGGCGTGAGAGAAAGGGAGAACGGGGCGGGGAGGACTGGAGGAGAGAGAGCGAAGAAGAGGAGGGGGGGTGCGAGACAGGCTGTCTCCAGTTGTCCTGCGGCTCGGTAGGCGCCGAACCTCCAGCCTCGGTCGCTCCCACCCGAGCCTGCGTGGCACCCCAAAAAATGGTGCGTGCACCAACACATTCCACCAAATTTCAAGCTTCTTGCATTTGCCAATGGTTATGTTTCCGTTGCATTGAACATCGATGCTCTTCAACAGGAGACCGCAGTGGCTGAGGGCTCTTTCTTCACGGTATGGCTTGATATACATCGTACTCCCTCTGTCCTATACGTGTTTGGTTCTTGGCCTCATTTCACCGTGGCTGCGGTGGACAAAGCGTCCCCCACAACGAGTGCAGACGGCAAAATTGAACTATAAAGCTGCGGCGTGTGTGTGGCATGCTGAAGTTGCGTGCGTGAAGTAAACATCAGCACAACGTGTCTAAGGGGCTGTTTGGTTCCTTAGACCGGATTTTAGTTCCTGTCCAATTGAATGTTTGGATATATACATGGAGTATTAAATATAGATTAAAAAAATAACTAATTACATAAATTGCGACTAATTTGAGAGACGAATTTTTTAAGCCTAATTAGTCCATGATTTGATAATGTGATGCTACAGTAAATATGTGCTAATGATGGATTAATTAGGCTTAATAGATTTATCTCGTAAATTAGTCTACTCTTGTGTAATTAGTTTTTTAATTAGCTCATATTTAGTCCTCTTAGTTAGCATCCGAACGTCTGATGTGACACGGACTAAACTTTAGTCCCTGAATCCAAACACCCCCTAAGCTGTGGCGGGATGAGTTCTGGCACGGTGAGGCTAAGAACAAAGGCACCCTAAAAGCGCATCTATGATTCAAAATTTGTCCCAAATTAATAGGTACATATAGGTCATATATGGTACTTTATTCATCTATGACACCAGCGTGACAACACAATAGAAGCACCCAGTTCTTGTGGAACGAAGAAAAAAGATCTCATCAAAAGAGGAAAGAAAAAGAATCAACTGAGACTATCTCTGGACTGTGGAGGCTCTCCGGAAGCTCCGCGAGTCCTCGTCTCGTGGCTATCTATCTCACTGTCTTCAGAGTCCATCGTGCGCTAAGCATGGATGGCAAGCGCAGTAGCAGCAGCACCGTGTGGGTCCTTAGACTGACGTCTTTACAATATAAGTGTATTTATGTAATTTGTCATCTTGTATTGGTTTCCGTGTCCAATCCTAGAATCATAACTTATTTTGGGACGTAGGCAATAATCTTTATTATTTTTCATTATTAGATTTTTTGTCTTTTTGCCATGTCCTAAGATAGAGGGCACTCGACTCCTGAGCACACATACGCTACTTATCTCTGCAAACAACATTTATTACTAATTGTTAGACTCTTTCGTGTTTTGTTAGTAGACATTAGATCCTCTCACGTGAGCTAGGTATATGTACTACGGTACTAATACTTATGCAACCATCGTCACTTAGCTCTGCTGACTGCTGGACTCTTTCACATTCTGTTAGGAACATTAGAGCCTCTCACGCGAGCTGGGTATACGTATTAGTACTCTTGCAACCATCGTGCTACTTGCATATCTCTCATACAATGAGTGCCACTTTCCTGCTCACTCTCACACTCTCTTATCGTAGGTGATGATAGCAGAGAACGTGCCGGAGGAGGCTTAAGGATAGGCAAAGCATCTGGTCGTGAGCGCGAGGCGACTAGTCATGAGTGCTCAATGCGCAAGCGTTGTGTGACTATGTCGTCTCCATGCGACAACAGGACAACAGTGAATCTGTAGCTTTTGCTCGCTTGTGATCAGGGGCCAAAGTGAAGCTAATGCGGTTACCATGTATGACTGCATGGTGCTATGTGGGAGAGAAAAGTTACTAAGGGGAAAGTTTTTCATACGCATGCATGGAAGGAAAGGGATAGGTTAGCATGCATGGCTGCTTGGATCTAGTAATGGCATGTGAGGGGAAACATGGCCGTTATAGTAAATTGGAGGCGGAACTGAAGCACCTTTTTGGAAGAAGAAAAAACGTGGTGATTAAACTCCCTCCTCTTGATCTTTGCCATGTTCGCTTGGCTAATAAGCTATGGCTGAAAGTACTGTTGGCTGATTTGTTGTAAGAGAAAAATAATGTTCGTTGACTAAAAAAGTACGGCTTATAAGCCAAGCGAATAGGACGCTTGACATTGAGGGAGTTACGTCTTGTATACTAGAATCAAGGGTATCAACTTCCCTTTTACACTTTCATTACTGAATTCTATCACATCGCCAACTGTCATCATGACTACAACAAATGGTCAAAAAGAAGTAAGCTGGAACGTTACGGGATACGTGGAAGAGTTGGTCGGTCCAAGTACTATGAGTGGTGTGGTGAACACATGAGCTAAGCGTCGTGAAAATAAGCTAGTGGCATAAAGTGCTAGTATCATTTGCTTAAATCGACAAACCCTAGGAGGATCGAAGTAGTAGATAGATAGAACCGCGAATGAAAGTAGAAAAGAAGCCTGTATAAGCACATCGTGGCATCAAGATGAAGCAACTTTGTCACACCTTAAATTGGTTCTATCCTTCACTGCTAGAGACAAAGCTATGAAGATGATAAAGTGGACATGATGTTCTCATTGATGAGTCTTGTTGATAGATCAAAGTGATATTGAAGCTATGAAAATTAAGTGGTAAGTGGCATGGTAGATACAACATCACGTCTAGCTAAACCGAAGGCTTTTCTTAAATGTAGTTATAAAGTAGTATAGATATGGTACATATAAAAAATCAAATCAAATAACATGATTGAGAATGTGTATTTATTCACGCATAGAAGGTCGTTGTTGAAGAAAATAAAGAGTGATATAAGATATTTAATGGCACCTTTCATTTAAGTTAAAGTAACTTTCCATTAACTCAATTTATTACAAGCTAAATTAAATGCTACAATTATGCCAAAAATTTCATTAAACTTGCAACAAACATATATTTATAGAATTGACACGGTACTAATTACTAAAATATTATATAAATTAAATATCGACTAACCAAAAATATTGCATGTTCCCTAATTTTCTCTTTACACGGTTCATCGCTTCACTATAGATTGTTCAGCGGACGGTCAAATACTCTCACAAAGCCTTAGCTCTGTTAAGCGTCTGTCCAACACTTCAATTGTATGTAACTCGATGAACTTTACCGCCAGACTGTCTGATGGGTGCATTTGAAGTTATGCCTAGTGACCGCCAGTCGAAAACCCGTGTTCATTTTCTAGCTTGCCAAATCGTCTAGCACGTGCAAGTTTTGCACACTTCCTCGTTTTGACTCTATTTCTTTGTCGGTCTTCGGGTCCGTTGTTCTTCTCTTGCATCCCTATGATTTATCAGAGTCTATCTAACATATCTCAACACATATGCTATGCCCTGTTCGCTTGGCTGATAAGCCATGGCTGAAAGTACCGTTGGCTAATTTGTTGTGAGAGAAAAATACTGTTCGTTGGCTGAAAAAGTACGGCTTATAAGCCAAGCGAATATGGCGCTAGTTCTAGTGATTATGTCGTCACCATTATCACCAAAGTCTCAATAAAATCATGGCTATGGGCACATGATACTTACAATCTCCCACTTTTTTGACTATGACAACACAATAAAAAACAAGCACAAAATGCAATAGAATATTAACAATCGGAGTACATATGCACCAAGATTACCACAAACTTGCTTAGATGTCTTAGCATACATCCTTACAACCTCACATTCTCATCCAAAACTCATCCAACTTGACACCACTTGTAGTATCAGCTTAATTAATACCACTTTAACACCACTTGGAATACTTGCATACCACAAGGCCGACGATGGTGATCCCCCTATGTCCATGGGACTGATGGGACCACCATATTTTCAGCCCTCCCTCTAGATATAGTCCCCATCGATGCTTGATCTCCTTCGATGAGATGCATGTCTGACTGCTACTCCACGACATGTGCATGGGCTCATGTGGAGGTCAAAAACAGGCAGACAGCGTTGCAATATCATGGATCCAAGTCAAAGAGGAGGAAGAATCTCATGAAGCGCTGCCAAACGTACGTGCGTGTCAAGGAGCAGACCGGAGTTAAGTTGGACCTGAAGCATGGGAAGCTAGTTTGAAAGCACTACCAAAGAGGTTCATAATACAATATGGCTCATCCTGTCGTTAGCATTCTAAACTCTTCATATCCATACACACTAATGTTTGAAGAAGAGGAATCGCATCTTGATAGATTAGGATGTATCACAATAGACAAAAGGGAGAGAGAGAGTGAAGATTTGTGCGCTGACATATATACAAGTCCATGCAAGTATCATATATGATCAATGCGAAAAAAACAAACATGCAAGTGTAAGAACACAACAAAAAGATTTGCATGAACCTAATTTTCGCCCAATGGCCTAAGTTCAAATTGGGTAAAATAATGTACTTGCCAGGATGCTACATACTTTTTGAATTTGAGTAACGAAATCGCTATAGAAAGAATTGTAACAGCACAATACGCTTGGCAATGTGTTTAGGTAAAAGAACATATATGTTATTTGTATACATTTCTTTGTTGATTATGTCTTGCACTGCACTTAACTACTGTAAGCCTGTCTGCGTGATAATGCACTGTGCACCCATTATTACGGGCATGTATTATTTAAACTTATTCGTATTTCAGCCCTGCAAGGCAGAGATCGTCGAGAAAACGTTGCTCAATAAGATCTCGGTAACCATCTCGAAAAAGCAGACTCTGGCATAACAATTAACAAGTGGTGATCTCTGCGTGATAATGCACTGTGCACCCATTATTACGGGCATGTATCATTTAAACTTAAAACAAAGCCCTGCAAGGCAGAGATCGTCGAGAAAACGTTGCTCAATAAGATCTCGGTAACCAACTCGAAAAAGCAGACTCTGGCATAACAATTAACAAGTGGTGATCTCTGTACTAACTTCTACTGTGTTTTGGTTTGAAATTGTATAGTTGAAAGTTCTGTTTGGCTCGAGGCAGAAGTCCTTGGTCCCACTTTGATAACAAACGTGCAGGATCGGACCACGACCAAGATCAGCATTCATCCGTTCAACCGGGCTGCAGCTGCATGCAGGCATACCGAGCTACGGGTTCGAGCGGTCTGCCGCACGCACGGAGGCACGTCCGCACGTATATATCGCACGTCCCCTGGCCCTGGATCTCCGCCCGCCGACGGAGGCAGCACTGGACGGAGGTGGGGGATCCGCCGGCAGTCAGGCAAGGGCACTAGTGTCGTCGTCGGTTCACGACCCTTTTCCCTCAAATCTTTCACAGCCTTGCGAGCCACGGTTAATCATGGGCGGGCGCAGGGCGCGCCAGCGGCTTTCACTTTGGCGAGAGAGGGGAGAGCGCCGACGCGGCGAGGCGGGTATCATTGGATGCCTTCGCTCCGCCGTGCGGTGCGGTCCTGGGGAGACGACCGACCCCAACCTCGTACCGCCTGCACTGCACGCCGCACGCGGGATGCACATGGCCTGCGCTCAGATCCCGCCCGCATCTTTTCTGATCGGAAAGCGCTGCTCGTCGCTCCTCTCCGCCCCTGCCCTGACGCTCCCCGGTCGTGCCCTGTCGGCTCGGCTGTGCTGCCTGTACACGCGGGAGGCCTTCCCTGTTCCTGCCAAATGCCAAGCGTGAAGGGGACGGGGCCAACACCGTTCGGCTGTGCTGTCTGGTTCTGGGCTTCTGGCAGTTTGCGACACAGGAATGTCGTAGCCTCAGCCACCTGCCCATTGAGCATTTTGAGCTTCCAAACAGCCAGATCTCCCTGCCCACTGAACATCAACTGGGCCTGGCCCCTGGGGGTGCCTCCTTTCATTTCATCACACAGCGAAATTTCCATCCTTTTGGCAACCAAAATAACCGATGAAATCAGGGAAGCTCAGGTTCATCGAAGAATCAAAGCTGCCAATAACCCTTTCAAAAAAAAAAACCCAGAAAAGAAAGAATGCCAATAACAAGCTGAAAAAGGAGGGCTTCCATTGCTAATGACATACATGTAGGTTCACAAATTTTGGGCTGAACTTACTTTAGCTAAACCGCAAATTTACTTCCAGGTATTTACATTGTTCTAAGTTCCTTGTGACGACGAAACTAGGCACCGGTGGATATGATACGCGCGACTACATACATACACTAGACTACACTTGGGACTAGCTGCTCTGCAAAGGAAGAGACGGGCCAATGGAGGTACTGAGATTTTTACAGATACTGAGATACACCATACAAAGGAATGCCGGTACTGACGTCACTCAGATCCATCATGTTCTGCAGGCCACTAGGCTGAACGCTTTCTGCTCTCCACTGCATCAGTGCCATTGTGGTGCTGAAGTCCTGCATAGGATGGATGAGATGGCCTCGGTAAGAATGCACGGATGTGAAAAGCGCGTATTTGATAAGATTGCAGTGAGGCATAGTAAGACTAAGATGGCCTTTTGGTGTTCATGATGAGTAGCATACTTTGTCTTTCTTCCACCAATCGATGAGGCACTGGCAGTTGGTTTGCTCATCGTTCGTGATGTCCGACGTGGTGGAGGTGGTGCGGGCGGTGCTGGTGGCTGCAAAAGTGAGTATGGCAAAAGGTCAAATCTGATGCAAAAACATCCTCACCAACAAATGAATATCTTGAGTTCCATTCTTTTTAGATAAATGAAGCTTTATTTCGAGATAAATGAATAGATTGGAATTCTAAGTCATGATGAGAATACTGTGATGTGTAGAAATTCATACATTTGGAGCCCTCGTCTTTAAGTTTCCAGTCTGCAAAGGAGTTGTTCTCTTTGAAGTGGATGCTCGAGATTGCACTGTCGCCTGAACGCCCTACATAAAAGTTGCCAGCAGCTGTTAGTGAGTACGATTTTACTGTTGATGCGAGATTTTACACTACTTCCACTACCCCAGTTCAGCTATAACTGTTTCCAGAAAGATGGTTTGCTAAGATTTGGTGGCATGTGGTAACCTATGACATGATAAAGGATTCTTAGAACCTTTTGTACTGGAGCCCTAAACTATGCAAAACCCAGGCATCTAGCAACACTGTTGCGCACATCAGTAGAGCCAAATGATCAGACTTATGTGTTTGCTATGGCCTATGGCTACTACAAACAAACATACAGTTGGACTGATAGGATTTATCAGCATCCGGCAGACAACAGAAATTAGCCCCTGGATTGAAATGTATTGTTTTTCTAAAGAATGGATTGAGATATAGTTCACTATATTACCAGATACTAGTTATTCAAAGTAATAGCGACTGCTATAACTACTTATGCGAACAGGGTAAACATTTAGTTGAAAGTTGAAACTGTCAATTTTGTGCGACACATGCATAAAAAAGAGGCAAGAATCATAACTAGATCATGAGCAATTACCTCTTTCTTTTTTGACCTAGAAATGGTTTCAACTGCTGGTTCTCTGGCAGTAGAACTGAAAATTTTCCTTGGAGGAAGGTTAACAAAACTACAAATCCAGAAGTTATGATCAGGAAATATGGCAAAGACAACTTTTACAATCATATTTTATAAGCATTATAAGATATTCCAACATTAATGCAGATTAGCACCTCGATTTCTGCTTGCCAGACACTTGCAAGTCCATTCTTTTTGACCTAGTAGAGTGGCTATCCAATACTGAAGGTCCCTTCAGTCTGTTGTTATTGCTGTTCAATGAAGCAGGTAAAGAAACAATGCAATCAAAATCCGACAAATAAAACTAGCACTTCCAAGAATCTGTCAATTGGTGTGTAGGAGTAACCTTTTTGTTTCCATCTTGCCACTTCTAGCAGCATTTGGAGTGACAGCCTTTTTCATGTTGCCCTGCATGAACAAGTAAAATGTTAAGTTTTGCTGGAGTTGAGCTTTCACATGATAACCGAGCATGTGAGTAAGCATCAGTCCAAATGAAGATGCTATGAACTAGTGATTGCCTCAAAGAAAGATGCTTCAAACTACAAATGCCACATTAGGTGATTCAGTTACTCTTATGCTGAAAAAGTCGACAAAGATCTGGAGCATACCACTGTAGTTGTTTCACCCTTCGGATGAGCCACAGGTGCTCTTGCCTTACTAGGCGTCTTCACATCCATTCTCAGAACACTATCTCTAGTAATAGCACGCCTCTCTCCTGTTGAGGGTCGACGTACAGCGGAAATATCACTATGCTTTGCTGCATTCTCTCTTTTGACAGGGAGTCTTTCAGAAGTAGAAGGTCGACGTGGTGTGGTGACATTGGCTTGCTTCTGTGCACGATCTCGGGTGACTGGGCGTCTCTCAGCAGTGGAAGGTCGTCGTGGGGTGGAAACAACTGCAGGCAATTGTGAATTCTCCCTGGCAATGGCATGTTGCTCTCCAGTAGAGGGCCGTTGCGCACCTGCTGAGGAAGGTCTTCTGAAACCTGTAAGCTTCTTCCCTTCTGTAGGGCCAAACATCTTCTGGGCTGCTGCATTTGGCCTTTGCACCGGCTTAGCCTTCTGGTTCATACTTGTATTGGGCTTCACTGAACCAGGCCTCTGAAATTATTCATGTAAAATGTGTAATGAGTAACGACTTAATAAACAATTCATATTGGTGGGCATACAAGACAAAACATGCACTCATCTAGTTAGCTGAATACAAATTAGTGGGCAGAGAAACAGAAAAGTTGAGAACGGAATAAAATAAACACCAATTCACTTGTACTGCTAGTATGTATGTCTACTCAGAAGGTTATAGTGTGTGGAAGTAGAAAGCAGCAAAATTTTATATATAAGATAAACAAATGGTATTACCTCACTAGCAAATGTGTAGTCCATAGCACTTTTTGAAAGGGTTTTGATGGATTTCGGTATTATCTTGGGACTGTGTCTGAGCCTGGAGTCTTTCTCAATAATTCTTCTAGGAGTCCTTGCAGCTTCATATGTTGTTCTAGTATCACCATGAACAGAACCGGCATTCTGCTTCCCTGCATCCATTTTACTGGTAGAACTGTAACAACGAACAGTTCCTCTAACATCATGCTCAGTTTGCTGCAGAACACCTGATGAAGAAAGATTGGATGAGGAAAGTTCTGTATCGAAGTTTTCGTTTCCTTGGTCATTATAGCACTGCAGTCCGTGCTCTGACGTAGTTTCATGCAGAGCTTCTTCCACATAAACATCCACAGCAGCTCCAGATCCAGTGGGAGTTTCAAGATCAGCACCCTGCTCATCTTCTGCTGTCTGGCTAGAGTCACTACCATCACCACTGTATTCCAGAATAAGTTCAGTTTGCTGGTTTTGCTGCTGTGAAGCCTTTAGTTCCCTGATCTTCTTGTAATACTCTTCAAAATAAGCCTTTTTCTGAGCGACTAAACCATTGAATTTTCCAAATTCTTCATTGCGTCTGTCATTAGTAAATACAGACCACTTCTCCCACGATAGTGACTCTAACTCAAATCTTCCGAAGGAAATGGAACCATGATCAAGTGTCGATACAGATACTCCCTAACAAAAGTAAAGAAATGCAACAGAAAAGAGTGGTGAGAATACTAGCAGTAATAGTTGCCGAGAACAAAATTGTGCTTATTCTCTCTCTCTCTCTCTTTTCCCCAAATGAGCTAATTTCACATAGCATAAATAAATTGAACAAAGCTAATTGACTAAAATGTACCATAAAAACTTACTTGAGGACCATCCCGTTCAGTTGGTTCTCCTTGTGACCACGAAAAATAAGTTTGATTGACTTCCGTCGCCATTATGTACGGGGTGTCTAATTCATCATAATTGGGTGGACTCTGCTGGCAAACCCTGAAAACATTTGCCAGAACATTTAAAATCCAGGCATAACAGCATAGATGAAATTTGATCTAAAATGACAAAAACCGAAAAGGAAGTTCAAAGGCGTTGTTTGGTTTGGTGCGTCTTAAGATTTCAGAATGCATCAGTAAATCTACAAATAATAGCCAGGACAAAGGAACCAAGGTTCTCAAACTTTTGCACAACACCACACCTGAGACGTGGTAAAGAGCGCACGGTTCTAGAACACTAATACGAAAGAATTTTCAATCACTGGAAGGTGGAAGCTAATAGCATGATAAATTTCATCGAGTCAATTGTATTTGAAGCGTCAAGCCCTCAATCTCAGCACCTATCCTTTCCTTTTGGGTCAAGGTTTCAGACACGAAATTCCAACCTTCCACGCTGCAGGTGGATCCCTAAGCACGAAACCAGATGCAGGCATACAGCCGGGAACGACAGTCTTCTTCTCAACAAGCCATTCACATGCCAACAACTCAAACGAGTTGCAATCCAAAGGAAAGGATAACATGTACAGCCAAGTAAAACACAAGACAGACTAAAGTGAAATGAACAAGAAAGAAAAGAAAACTCCTGTGGCCCAAAGAATCAGCTAGAGCACCGAAATCGAAAGTGTCTATTTTCTATCGCTGAAACTGAGGTTCTCGAAGTTAATAATTTATCACAGGACTGCGTATGCAGAATCCAGCAACTTTCAGCCCTACCAGAACAAAACAGGAACACAATGAGCGATCAGTTTGGAGCAAGGGAAAAGAAGAAGAAACTTGGCTTCTGGCCTACACAAGCTGAAATCAGGACATGTTCTACCAAGCTCCGCTGCATCAGTGACAGTGAACGGAGCAGAAATGGGAAGGGGTGAAAAAAATATAGGAAAGAGAGGCCCAAAAAAAAGGCGAAACTGTCGGTAATCATCAGAAGCCGTCAGATCCGTTAAAAAATGCGATCAAAGCGGGAATTTAAACTTCACCACAGAAAAGAAAGGTAGAGGTAAGACTGAGATAAGGGAAGCACTTTTGAAGAGCTGCGGCGCTCAAAAACAAAATTTATGTCAGACAAAAGCTGAATCGACGGTCCAGCATCGACAGTGCATAATTCCAACTTCTTCTACGAAACAACGACAGTCAGGCGAACAAGTCGTGAAATCCGAAACTTCGCAGCGTCAGAACAAAGAGAAGATCAAACACCAGACCCCCGGCGCAGAAGAAGTGGAGAAAATCGCGCGTCGCTGGTCCAAAACTTAAGGAAGTGTTTGGACGACGGGCATTTCGTGGCGAAATATAAGGCCTGTTCAAATTTGAACTGGATCTCCAAACTTTCCAACTGAGCACCTCGGATCAAAACGGAAGGATACCAAGAACTGCTCATCAAAGCACCAGACCCCGACACAACTGCTCCGCATTGCAGAATTCCGCACCAGTTACCAAACACGCCCGTTCCTCGTCACACAACCAGCTGCCAAATCCTACAAGTCCAAGCAGCGCGCCGTTCCACGCCTCCACCCAGCGCGCCCTAGTAGTAGAACCAGAGAGGCAGAGACCAGAGAGAACGATAGGGGTGAAATCCTCCATTACCTGACACCGAGGCCGCCGCATGGGGGATCCCGTGAGCCGCTGCGCTGCCGCTCCCGGCCCTGACAAGGCCGCGGGAAGCGCACTCGCCCGCCGGTCGCTGTTCACCTCTGCCGCCGCCGCCGCGGCGCGGCCACTGGGGGGACGAAGCGCAGAACGGAAGAAGGCAACAACGCAGGTAGGTAGGCAGGTGCGTGAGCCCGAGGCCAAGGCGGGGGCTCTTAAATTCTGGGCGCGATTAGCGCCTTCTAATGGCCGCCGCGGCCGAGCAATTACCACGGCGATTCGTAGCGTGCGTGCTCGCGGGAGGGAAATGCTCCTGCTTTCACTAGCGAGAGTGGAGAGCGTGCTAATAACGCTCGCCGCGCGCGCGCACGCGTCTCTGAAGGTGGGACCCACGCCGGCGTGGGCGAGTGATTTCCGGATGGTTATGTGATGAGAACCAAGCCTTTGGTTAGTTTAACATTTGGTCTCATGGAAAAGGATAAATATTGTTAAATGATAGCCATATATAGAGGGCAGCACAGAAAGAATTTGACCTTTGTCTATAGCATGTTTGAAATGCGAAAACTTTGCAGGAATGCACTTAAATACTAGTATCCCTTCTGTTTTAAGTGTGTACCACCATTGGCTTTTGCTCAAATTTTTACCAACAACATTTTTTTACTTAGTGATAAGGTGAAAACAGTACCAATAAATCTGTAAAAAAGGACATGAAGTGTGGTTGTATTTGGTTAAGGTGTCAGGTACAATTGCTAACCCTCTATTTTTACTCCTGGCGAATGATGCCCAGCAAATTGACCAAGACATGCTAAAGGCTACCACTAGCATTTGTTTAGGGTGATACCGTGATAGTACTAATCTTGAGTCGAACAGTTCTGAGCTGTGCAAATGCAAGGACACGAGAGGCCAAGGTAGGTTGGTCGAGGATAAGACTAGCAAGGATGCACAGGGACACAGGCAGGCAGCAAGCATGGATCCCAATTATTGAATCTATCTTTAGAGGAGGAGAGACAATGACAAATAGAAAACTCTCTCAGACTTGGAAGCCATGGAAAGTAAAAAATATAGAAAAAGTAAGATACAAATGCTTTAAAATTGATTCTATATCTTGTGACAGTCCAATCCAATTAAATATAAACTGCTCCGGTTGACGGTTCATTCAATTACCTTTCTTTGTGAACAGTGATTGAGGCCTGGGGCTGCCCAGCCAGCCAGCCACCGGCCAGCCAGCCGAACAGCCCCTTTGAGAGGCTTCCTTCCTCAGCGTTTCCATTCCCTGCCATGCCCTACCTAAGCCCCTAATTTTTTCATCATCAGCTTGTCCATTTCTGCTGTGGGGGCACTTGCTGGCCCGGCCAGCAGTTATCTTGTCCCTTTCCTTGCTTGCTTGGCCAGGGTAAATGGAAGGTGGCTATGCCCTGCATGCCCCATCAGCATCTTCCTCCTCTTCAAATGCAAACATGGCAGAATTCAGGTGGGTCCCATGGTAGCTTGTTAACTTCACTGGCCCCTCAGACTCAGATTTTTAACGTCCAAGATAAGGCTGTATCATGCAGGTAGTCCACTAGGGGGATGCAGCGGCTGGAATGTCGGATCACCGAGGCCTCTTGGTATGGTAGATGCTCAAAGCTGGGTTTAACCTTGAATGAACCGTCAACCGTGCCTTATACGTCTGGTTAATTGGATTGGACGACCACATATGTCATAGATATAGATAAGCCTAGTGTTAAAGCATTTGTATCTTACTTTTTCTGTATTTTTTACTTTTCATGGCTTCCAAGTCTAGTGTTAGGAATATGCTCAGCATCCACTTTAGTGGTTAGAATATGTTGTAGTAAGTGGGAGTCCCCTTTGCCTAAGGGAGTGTTATTGTAAAAACAAGCCATTGCATTTTCATTCAATAAAGCGCCCAAGGGCTAAGCTGCCCTCTGGTAGTTCTAGATCTAAATCTGAGATCTAATCAGACCAATAATCTTCTATCAGAACTGAGAGGGTTCTTGAGTGAGCGAGCGCCATGTCCACCGCCACCAAACCGAGAGAGCGCTTGTCATGAAAGCAGAGCCGACGATCGCGTGGACGCGCCTTTTGCCGCCCAGAGGCAGGCGGTCACAAGGCGACCGAGACAAAGACGAAGCGGCGGCGGCGCCTGCCAGTGCGATAGCAGCATGACCCACCATACTCTACGCCAGAGATGGAGCGGAGCCGAGCCGGTGGAGGATCGCGATAGCTGCTGCCGGGCGCCGCCATAATCGTGGCCCAGGCGTCGTGTGGTCGGCGGCGCTTCCGATCTTTGCCGCAGACGGTCTACCGTGACTCCAGAGCGGGAACGCCGTGGTCGATGCTCACCAAGTCGAACTCTACACGAGTGGAGCCGGCTGATGAAGGTCAAGCTGCAGGCCCGGCGGCTGTAGGAGGCGGTTCACGTCGACGGCATCGACTACGACGATGATCGTCGGGCGCTAGAGGCGTTGTGCGTCGCCGTCCCCACTGAGCTTGGCGCCTCCCTCGCCAACAAGGCTACGGCAAAGCTAGCGTGGGAATCGATCGCCGCAGCACGCATCGGCGGAGATCATGTGCACCGGGCGACGTTGCAGTGCTTCCGAGAGGAGTGGGAAGGCCTCGCCTTTAAGCCTGGTGAGCAAGTCGAGGCCTTTGCCCTTCGTCTTACCAATCTGATGGCACAGATGGCACACGACGACGACACCGACCTCACGGAGGAGCACACGGTGGAGAAATTCCTTCGCTGCATGCCGAAGAGGTACGTGCAGATCGTCAATTCGATCGAGACGCTCCTCGACTTCGAGTAGCTCACCGTTGAGGACGTCACCGGGAGGCTCAAGGCGGTGCAAGACCACGAGCAGGCGTCGAACTCCGAGCAGGGCGCCGCCGGAGGCAAGCTGTTGTACATGATGGAGCAGTGGCACGCCTTCGATAAGAAGAAGAAAGAGGAAGGATCCGATTTGTCCGGCTCCAAGGAGCGTCACCGGCGTCCACGTGGTGGCAAGAAGGAGGACAAGAGACCTCGGGGCCAGGTCGGCGCTGATGGCGACGTCACCGATGGCGATGTCGCCGGCGAGCGCAAGGCGACCCAGGATGACACCTGCAACAACTGTGGCAGGACTGGCCACTGGGCCAAGGACTGCCGTCTTCCTCCACGCCATGGTAGGTAGGCTCACATCACGCAAGCAGAGGAGCAGGATGCCACCCTGTTCCTGGCGCATGGGTGCGTAGAGCTGCAGCAAGACACACGGGAAGGGGTGAAAGGTCCAAGCTTTCCCCTTTCTAGGTCGGCTGGCTCCGCCGAGCTCCACCTCGATGAACCGCGTGCCCACGCCTTCCTCGGCAAAGGTGTTGTCGTTGACAAGATCGATGGCTGGTACCTCGATATTGGTGCGAAGCACCACATGACTGGTCAGCGCGAGTTCTTCTCGACCTAGACTCCGGCGTGAAGGGCTCCATCAAGTTCGGTGATGCCTCTGCCGTCGAGATCAAGGGCTTCGGCTTGGTCATCTTCAAGGCCAAGATAGGGGAGCATAGTCTTCTCATCGGGGTGTACTACATCCTGGCCTTGAAAAACTCCATCATCAGCGTCGGATAGCTTAACGAGAACTGCTCATGGGTGGAGATTGAGGACGACGTGCTGCGTATCTAGGATAGAGGCCGCCGTCTTCTCATCAAGGTGAACTGGGGAAGCAACCACCTTTTATGCTCCATGTACAGGTGGCGCATCCCCTCTATCTTGCCACGCGCCGGGATGATGAGCGTGGCACTGGCACGAGCGTTTCGAGCACCTTCACTTTGAAGCCCTACAACAACTCAGCAAGAAGGAGATGGTCCATGGCATGCCCTACGCCCCCACGTTGAGCAACTATGTGACACCTGTGTGGTGACCAAGCTGAAGCACCGGCCCTTCCCGCTCCAAACCTCCTACCGCGTCACCGAGCAGCTCGAGCGGGTGCACGGCGACCTCTGCGGTCCAGTGTCATCGGCCACTCCTGGAGGTCGATGCTACTTCCTACTGCTTGTTGATGACGCCACCCGCTATATGCGGGCCATGCTGCGTGATTCCAAGGTAGCAATTGCGGATGCCATCAAGCGCCACTAGGCAGCCGTGGAGGAGTGAGGCTGCAAGCTCCGGTGCTCCGCACGGACAACGATCAGCGAATTCACGGCAGCTGAGTTCGTGGTGTACTACGCCGACGAGGGTATTCAGCGCCACTACTCTGCACCCTACTCACGGCAGCATAATGGCATGGTCGAGGGTCGCAAACAGACGGTGGTAGCAGCGGCGCGCACGCTCCTCAAGCAGTGCGGTATGCCAGCGGTCTACAGGGAGAGGCCGTGATGACCGCCATACACCTGCTCAACCGCTCTTCGACCAGTGCGCTCAATGGCAAGACGCCATATGAGGCATGGCATGGGCGCAAGCCAACGGTTAGCTACCTGCACGTCTTCGGCTACCTCGCCTTCGTCAAGGAGCTGAACCACGTCGGTAAGCTCGACGATCGTAGCTCGTCGGGAGTTTTCATCGGCTACGTAGAAGGGGCTAAATCCTACCGCGTGCTCGACCAGACGACACGGCGCGTGCGCGTGGCGACACGACGTTGTGTTCGATGAAGGACGTGGCTTGGCATGGGACAAGGCGATGGATGACGGGTCGGCGACCACGCTTCGCGACTTCACCGTCGAGTGCGTGTGGGCTGGAGGTGCTGAGGAAGCACAAGGTGCATCTTCATCGATGTATGGGTCTTCATCACCAGTGTCGACCTCTTCACCAACTCCGCCTTGTTTGCCATCATCAAATTCGGGGAGCTCGGTAGCCCATCGGCGGTGGTCGACAGCCTATCGGTAGCAGCTCGGACCTCTCCAGCATCACAGCCGACCTCTCCAACCTCTACATCATCATAGCCAATCTCTCCAGCGTAACAGTCAACCTCCTCGGCATCTTCTACCTCGCCCGTTGTGACACCAGCACACGCAAGATAGCTAGAGGTCGAGTATGCCAGCTCGGACCTCTCCAGCACCGCAACCGAGCTCTCCAACCTCTACATCATCGTAGCCGATCTCTCCAGCGTACCAGCTGACCTCCTCGGCGTCTTCTACCTCACCCGCTGTGACACCAGCGCACGCAGGATAGTCGGAGGTCGAGTATGCCACGCCACTGGAGGACGATGAAGACTGCCTGGACGTCTACTATGATGATGAGCCTCTGCGATACCGTACTAGGGCAAGCATCCTCGGCGACCAGTCTTCACCAGACCAGCTCGAGAAAATCTTCGCCCAGCTTCATCTAATGCACGCCAGTGAGCCGACCACATACGCTGAGGCGCAGGGTGATCCGATGTGGCGGGCGGCGATGGAGCAGGAGCTCAAGTCCGTCGAGCAGAACCACGCCCGGGAGATGGTGCCACTACCTGATGGCCATTGCCCTATCACCCTAAAGTGGGTGTTCAAGCTCAAGAAGGACAAGCTGGGCGCGGTGATCAAGCAGGAGGCGTGGCTTCATTCAGCAGGAGGGGATCGACTACGATGATGCCTTCGCCCCCATGGCGCGCATAGAGTTAGTCTGTGTCCTCCTCGCACTAGCGGCTCAAGAGGGGTGGCAAGTCCACCACATGGATGTGAAGTCTGCCTTTCTCAACGGTGACCTCTAGGAGGAGGTCTACGTGCGCCAGCCACCTGGCTACACTATCGCCGAAGAAGAAGGGAAGGTGTACCGCCTACGAAAGGCACTCTATGGCCTACGCCAGGCACCGCGTGCCTAGAACATGAAGCTCGATGCCACACTCAAGAAGATGGGCTTCAAGCAGAGCGCGCATGCGGCGGTCGTGTATCAGCGAGGCATCGGACGCAACGTTCTATTGGTCAGCGTCTACGTCGATGACCTCATCATCTCCGGCGCTGAAGAGCAGAAGGTGGAGGTGTTCAAGGTGCAGATGAAGAAGGCGATCAACATGAGCGACCTCGGCCTCCTTTACTTCTACCTCGGCGTCAAAGTGCGCTAGGACGCCACTGGGATCGCCCTCCGCCAAACCCACTACGCTAAGCGCATCCTCGAGCTCGGCGGCATGACAGACTGCAATCCGGCCCACACCCCGATGGAGGAGAAGCTCAAGCTAAGTGGGAGAGCACGATGAAGGAGGTTGATCCAACCCATTACCGGTGGTTGATCGAGAGCTTGCGCTACCTGGTCCATACCCGGCCGGACATCGTGTTCGCCGTCGGGTACATGAGCCGGTTCGTGGAGCGACTGACGATGGAGCATCTGCAGGCCATCAAGCGAATCCTGCGCTATGTGGTGGGCACCCTCGACTATGGTCTTCACTACGAAAGGGCCCCCGACATGGCACGGTTCATTGGCTACTGTGACACGACCTCGCTGGTGATATGGATACCAGCAAGAGCACAATCAAGACGATGTTCTTCCTCGGTGATTGCTTGGTCAGCTGGCAGTCCCTCAAGCAGAAGGCGGTGGCCCTCTCAAGCTATGAAGAAGAGTACATCACCGCCACCACTGCCGCAACACAGGCGCTGTGGCTGTCAAGGATGCTGGCAGAGCTCCTTGGCAGGAAGGTGGATGCGGTTGAGCTGAAGGTGGATAGCAAGTCTGCTCTAGCTCTGGCCAAGAACCCTGTCTTCTATGAAAAAAACAAGCACATTCATATCAGGTACCACTTCATCAGAGATTGCTTAGAGGACGGAAGCATCAAGGCCAGCCACATTGCCACTACTAATCAGCTGGCTAACATTCTCACCAAGTCAGCTGGGGAAGTCCAAGTTTCAGGAGATGAGAGAGAGGATTGGGCTACAGCAGACCACCTCCAGTGCTCGGCACAAGGCTTAGGGGGAGATTGATAGATAAGCCTAGTGCTAAAGCACTTGTATCCTACTTTTTCTACACTTTTTACTTTCCTTGGCTTCCAAGCCTAGTGTTAGGAATATGCTCAACATCCACTTTGTGGTTAGAATATGCTATAGCTTTTGGTTGTACTAGGTTTGTTCTTAACTATGTATCTCTAAATCCTTGAATGGTTTAGTATTTGAAGTCGTGCAATCTCCCGTGTAAGTTCAGATCTATGAAATATAATTGCACCTCCCTTCTTGATTCTTGAGCCGAATCTCGGGATGAGATTCTTTTAAGGGGGGACTTAGTTAGCATTGAGGTTAAGGCCTAATAAACCCTAGCGTATATGTTTTCTAGGATTTTAAAAATAAATTCTCCCATGAAATGGTAAGGTGAACCTGGTGTGTCCTTTGTGAATAAAAGAATCAAATAAGTGTTGCTAATCATTTTTTATTTAGTACTTAAAAGCTTTTAAATAATCTTGGATACAAAAGTTGTTTAGGGTTTATTTTAGAAAAGTATGAAGAAAGTGCTTAAAATGCATGTAGCAATTCTAGCAAATAAATAGTGAGTGGCTATGGCTGCCCTCGCTTGGCCACCGTGGCGCTCGCTCCATCCTCCAATTCACCTGCCATGTCGACTCTCCGAGCATGCGCCACTGCCCGCCGCGTCTAGGTCGACTGGCCCCGATCACAGTGGCGATGGTGATGCCTCTCTACCTTGCCTTGCCCCACTAGCTGACGGCGGTGAGCCCCGCTCGGGTCCTGCCACTACATTCCAAGTGTTTCACGCCAAGGCTCCATGTATCGTCATCTGTGCGCACGTGCTTGTGCTACCGCCATCGATCGGAGCCGCCCCGTCTTAACCTGCTCGGGCTCGCTGGTGTGCCCTCTCCACGACCGCACCATGCGTGGGACCACCAATCCTTCTTCCCTCCTAGCGTCAGTGAGCTTCACCGCCTAATTCCTTGCTCCAGTGGGTAGCTTAGGAAGCCGGCCAACCGTCTCTTTCCCCTCAAGCCCGGCAGAGCACTACCGACCGACAATTTGGCATTTTGCTCGCCGCCAGTCATGTGCGCCGCCGAGCCAGTAGGTATAGGGGTAAGGCCCATAGGGTTGATAGCAGTTCAATTGCTCATAACCTTGAACTCGCCTTGACTCCCTCTATCCGGTGCTCGTGCTATTTTGGCCAGGGTACTCATCGGTGGTGTGGTGACGCGTTGGTGTCCGCCTCGGAGCATTGCCGCCAGGCTTGCGCGCACGTGGCCAGGTCATCTCGACCCTCCTCTGCTTCAACTGTCACCTCAGCACGGACCGCGGTGAGCCT